AGACTAGGTACTCTACATCTTAGAAGTAGGAAAAGTGCTGGTTTTCTAACTGGAGGACGGTCTTCAAAACATATGGTTGTGTGTTCATGGGATTACAAAATCAGGGAGACAAGATCATATGTTTTTAACTTTTGGAGGGCTGCATTTCTAAAGAAGAGAAGCTCAGAAGAAGTAGCTTGTGTTTTGTTCAGATTTTAAATGGTGTGAAAGGCATCAGACGTGAGGACTTTGGGTTGAATTTCTGAGCTGGTATCCAAACATACTGATTGCTAGAGAAATGGGACCATGGAAGCAATCTTTCATTTTTTTAATTAAAAAAAAAGTTAATGTTTACTTATTTTTGAGAGAGAGAGAGAAATAGAGAAAACAAGAGCAGGGGACAGGGAGGGAGAGGGAGAGAGAGAGAGAGAGACAGACAGACAGAATTCAAAGCAGGCTCCAGGCTCTGAGCTGTCAGCACAGAGCTCGATGTGGGGCTTGATCTCACAAGCTGAGAGATCATGACCTGGGCCGAAGTCGGAAACTTAACCCACTGAGCCACCCAGGCACCCCTGAAGCAATCTTTTAGTACTACAACTTGCCTATGTGCACAAATCCAAAAGCATTGATTAATAGTATGTGCTATAGGATATATATCAAGTAACATGGGAATTAAAAGAACTTAAAATTGTTTCCTTAAAAAATAAATTTAGTGTTCTATATATTTAAACACTTTTGGACTTGTTGACTTAGGTAATATTAATGCTTGTTGTTTGAAAATGACAAATTTTGGTATATTGATTTACATGAAGAACTGAGGGAAACAAAAACCCATGACACAATTATGGAAACTGAATCTAAAATGTCACCACTGGCATAGTACCACAACAGTGCAACACTTACCTTTAAGGTCTCAAGAAACTATTCAGTGGTTCTCAATGATGAGAACGTATTAAGCACAATTTGATAAAACACAATGGACTTAAATAAAGGTCAGCCATCAAATAAGCTGAACAAAGGAAACCATTTAAAAGTGAGAATGATGTCTTGTCATTAAACCATTCTAGGCTGGTTAGTTGTTTCAGAGGTCAAAATGGTAAATGTTCCTACTTCGAATAATATAATGTGGCACAGAAAAACCCTTAACTTGAAATGTCTATGTCTATTGGTCATAAATTATGAACAAGTAGTATGCTGTGTCACTATTTTACAGGATGACATTTTAAAATGCAAAGTAACATAAATGAGCTCCTCTATATTTTGCTGTACATGTGGATCTATGTCACTGATTATAACTAGTGACTCAGGGAGGTCATCAACTGAAAACATTTCCTGCAAATAGTCCCACAGGAAGGAAATTTTAAAGGATCCACAGGGAGAAAAAAGAAAGTTTGGGAAGAAGACTGAACATTCCATCCAACCCTGTACTTGATAGACAGTCTAATCTTCCCTTACACAGAATTTTCCAATAAAAATTACATCCTTCAAAGCAATTTTCTTCTGAGCAAACTATCAACCACAACTTCCCCAAATTCAAGTAATGTTAAACACTGTCTGATAGGAAAAAGGATATTTCAGTGAAGCAAAAGAGACCATCAAATTCTGAAAGTAGCTTGAGCCACTGAAATAATTTGAGTCCCAGGAAAAGTTGGATTCTAACTCTGCCTCTAATATTGAGTGATCCTGGGTAAGTTATCTTCCTGTAGAGAAGATTCTCATTTGCACCTCTCAAATGCTTTGTTCTAATGTAGATAATATATTCTTGTATATTACTGAAAACATAAATAAATGACCCTGAAGTGCATCACTGCAATTGGTTGAAATTTTAATAATCAACAGGCAAGCAGGGTCCAAGTTAACATTGGGAACTTAACTGCATGGAAATGACTTTTATTGTTGTTCAGTACCCTGGTTTAGTGACTCACAAGGTAATAATTCACTGCTGCACATTAACAAAGCATTTTGTGGTGAGGGTAGCACTTATAGTAATCATACCATTTAGTTATATTTGACATTTAGGTTAACCCATCTGTTTTCCTTTTCTTCCCAAGTATCATAGAAACCAACTATGACCATCTGAATTTTCAATATTATTTTACTATAAGATATATCTGATAAGATTAACTACTTATACCATGGCTCCTTTTTAATTAGGTGAATATTTTAACATACTCTATAGCTTCTCGTGAAGAGCAAATTATAGCTTTAAATTCACTGAAAAAGGAAATTATCATTAGAATAATTTAGGTGAGTAAATGGTATCAGTTTTTGAAGCATAATCAGTGCTCTACAAAGGAAGTTTCCTCTATGATTCTTTAAGGGGAAAAAAAAAACATTAAGGAAAATCAACCAGTAATCTTTTATAATATAAATGGAATTTAATGGTAATTCTAGGTAATCATACATCAGTAGTTAGTTAATTCACATTTGAACAGATTACAAACCTAAGCTAACTATTTCTATGTACTTCAGTAAATTTCTGTCATTTTAGACATTTACATCTACTCAGAATCCTTTTATTCCAGGAATATCCTTTTAATCCTAGACATTAGGGGAATATGCATGTATATTATATTTCTCTTTCTTAATGACAAGTATTTACCTGAAGATAAAATCCTACTGAAACGTGGAGGAGGGGGGAAAGGGAGCATTTTAAAACATTCACTTCTTCTCTTTTAGAACATCTATTACTACATGATAGTATTTCCCACAAGATTATTTTTCTTTTATTTGAAGTTGGCAAAAATCTTTATACTGAATCCTTTGAGCATACCTCTATTGATAGATGTTAGATCAGTGCTGTATAGAAAAACTTTTATTTGGGGCGCCTGGGTGGTTCAGTCGGTTAAGCATCCGACTTCGGCTCAGGTCATGATCTCAGGGTTCCTGGGTTCCAGCCCCGCGTCAGGCTCTGTGCTGACAACTAGCTCAGAGCCAGGAGCCTGCCTCAGGTTCTGTATCTCCCCGTCCTCTTTGACCCTCCCCTGCTCATCCTGTTTCTCTCTCTCAGAAATAAAGAAAACATCTTTAAAAAATTAAAAAAAATAAAGTGCACTTCTCTTAAAAAAAACAAAGAAAAATTTTTATTTGACAGGTAGATGACAGGAAGAAGTTTCTCTCCGAAATATAAGATGTAACTATAAAATTCTTCTGTGAGGTTAATATAATCTTTTGTTTCTTATGTATGAATGACTTAATCATTCTTGCTTCAAAAAATAACTTCACGTAATTAATTGCAATAGTGTGAAATTAAGATACTTAAAAATTTATGTATTTATTCAAATATGGAAAGTTTGTTTTAACTGTCTTTTTTATAACAATCCAATGTGAAATAGGCTTACAATATAAATTTCCAATGATATTTTCTTTTAGTTTACAATATTTTTATAATCACTCACCAAAAACACTCCCTGAAGATTCATTCACTATGCACATAACATATACTCAAAACAAGTAGCATCTTAGTAGAGATGACTTTATTAGTACTTAGTATATGGTATACAATACAATGAAAATGTATTAAATGTTTAGATTTATCCTATAAATCGGTCTATGACCTATCCAATTTATTACAAGCATTGGTTTATTCTCTCTGGCATTATTAAATAATTTCACATGTCCCCTAATATCACAAGAAGAGGGAGTAATAACACTTTTTTTTTTTTACCAAGTCTAGCATTCCAGATGATCTTTCCTATCTTCCTGGCCCTCTTTCCTTACACCCCTCAAAAAATAAATCAGGAGGGGCGCCTGGGTGGCTTAGTCGGTTAAGCGTCCGACTTTCGCTTAGGTCATGATCTCACAGTTCGTGGGTTCGAGCCCCACGTTGGGCTCTGTGCTGACTGCCAGCTCAGAGCCTGGAGCCTGTTTCAGTCTGTGACTCCCTCTCTCTCTGACCCTCCCCTGCTCACGCTGTGTCTCTCTCTCTCTCCTAGAAATAAATAAAACATTTAAAAAATAAATAAATAAATCAGGAGTAAACACATACAATTCCATTATACATCCTATTATCTACAAATGTTATTCTTTGCCTATCTGGGTTAGAACTACCAGAAGCAAATCACTTTTGATACATATTAAAATGCTGCTCCACATATATGTCATGTACATCTATTCAATGCATGAATAGAAAAGAAATTTATATCCACTCCTACATTCGGGATTCTTGTTATAATATACTTCAAGAACTAACAGTCTGTAATGTTTTAAGATGTGAGAAGAAAATAAAGTGAAAGAATGGTGAGATGTCAAAGAGGGATTGCTGTTTTTCAGATTTATTTTCCTTTCTAGCTTTCTCACAGACCTTCACCTCAGAGTCTATTCATCTTTCTCTTTGTAACAGACAGAATTTGCCCTTGAATAAGGTGATTCGCTTTAGCCTAGAAATGAGCATACACAATCACCTCTGTGTTTCTCTGTTTCTTTACTTCTCTAAAATCTCAAAAATAATGCTACAAAATGACTTGATGAAAACAATAAGATGATTGTCATTTGATTTTTTTTCAAGTTTTAGTTAGTGGACTAGATATCTAGTATAAACTTAATTAACACAACCGTGTTCTACAATAAAGAGTTTTGTTGGCATAGACTAGAATAAGCAAAACATATTTAAAAAGAAGTTTCTGGCTACTTACCTCATTACATTTAGCTCCTCAAATACTTTTCGGAGAGACATAAAATAAGTATAAGGGGACTGAAATACAAGATTGCATCTACTTTATAAAAGGTAATTTTTTTTAATTTACAAACTCCCAGTAAGATCTGATGAGCAAGTTTAGTACTAGACCACAAGAGGATCTGCAATGTCTTTGAGATTTTACTACACTAAAATTAAATAAATAAATAAATATAGATAGATAGATAGATATAGATCTGTTTTAATTGAAATATAATTCACTCATCATAACATTCACCCTTTTAAAGCATACTTTTTCTTTTGGCTTTTGTACCTTTCCATTTAGAGTGACTCCTCTCACAGATGAAATTATTATTGTAAATTAGCATTAAAAGTGTTATCTTACCTTACAAAGGAAGTTGATCTTAAAACCCAAAGACTGGGCATTTCTCGAGCCTGAGTTCATGTAGTTTCCAACCAAAAGGACTAACTCTAAAAGTCTGTTAAAGCTTTCGCTTTTCTTCAGTTCTTCACAGGCAAGAGTTACTGCTATGATGCTTGGTTTGATGTTGTTTACATGTTCTTCAAACGTGAGCTTGAAAAGAATGCTATTGAGACGAGGCCGCAACATTTTCACTGAGCTCATCTGTAAGACAAGAAATACTCTATAAGAACATATATATATATATATAGGGGCGCCTGGGTGGCTTAGTCGGTTAAGCGTCCGACTTTCGCTTAGGTCATGATCTCACAGTTCGTGGGTTCGAGCCCGGTGTGGAGCTCTGTGCTGACAGCCAGCTCAGAGCCTGGAGCCTGTTTCAGAGTCTGTGACTCCCTCTCTCTCTGACCCTCCCCTGCTCATGCTGTCTCTCTCTCTCTCTTTCTCCTAGAAATAAATAAAACATTAAAAAAAAAGAACATATATATAAAGCCTGTTATTTCATTCTCCAATAGATATAAGTTTTTAGATTGTACTGTAAAATTTCCACATAAAATGAATTCTCTATGGGTCTTAAAAATATTGTTTTGGCTCGTTTTGGATATTCCAATGGAATATTTTAATCAAAGTTTTAAAAAGTTAGCTGCTCAGTTTTAAACAAATCATCCTTATAACAGTAAAAAAAAATTATTGAAGCTAAATATCTGCTATTCGTTACTCCTATAATCATTAGTCATCAATACCATTTAAACTGCCAAAATTTTGTCCCTGAGGTAAACTATGAAAATTTACTAACGTGAAATTAAATTTGAGTGAATAGTTTGGCCACAGATAAAAGACGTGCATGATAACAGAAAATGTAAGTAGAACCACATTTCCCAAGAAATCATCTATGACTATGTTGTTTGAAATCAGAAGACTAGGTCTGATTGAGCATTTAATAATTTTTAAACCTGTGATTTCTATTCATCAAATATATAAAATATTTATATATGCTCTAAAGAATTTATTCTACTTGAAAAAAATGTTGATGCTATATAATTAGGTTATGGTAAAATCACATTAACTTACTTTTAAGTACATTATTCAATAATTCTATATTGGTATTCTTCAAAACAGTTCAACTTAGGTTTTAATTACTTGTTTCATAGCATTGGTGCACATTCTCTATTTCCTTGGGCATAGCTCCTATGATAATAATTTCTTTTAGTTGTTAATTCCCTATAGATCCAAGTCATTTTACTAGCTTTCACTCACCAAATGAATTTTGAGACAGAGGTGGGGATGGGGATAGACACATATGAACATACACAAGCACACCAACAATGAAAAGAAATTATTAACAATCTTAATTATATTTATTTTTGGCACATATAGCTTAGTTTCTTGAATATAAATGTCAGGCACAGATTAGGCACTGAGATATCTGTAGATAATATAAAAAGAATTTGACAACATAAACAAAAGTCCTAAAGTCACAAAGTACCCTTCAAAAGAAGCAAACGAGCTGTTGAATAGATCATATCTGCTTTAATACAGAAGCAAGGCATAGTTAATAATTTTTCTTCTTTGAAATGAACTTGCCCATTAACCATGGGTATCTGCCTCCCCAAAGATTAGCCTATGATTTCTACTAACCCCCCTATATGCTCCCATGCTTTTTATAGGCAGATGTATAAAAGGATGTTGGGGAATATCCACCTGTTACTATATTTATGTAGATCTTATTACTTATCAGTAGCTTTTTTATGTTATCGGGGTAATATTATAGAAACCATCCTATAGTTTCTTCAGCACTCACAGTGTAAGTATAAGACATACTTCCAAATCAGAATTTTCCAATATAGCTCAAAACTCATAACAGTCACTTGAACACTATAGTTAGTGATAGAAGCAGCCTATAATTCTAGATGGATAAACAGAAATTAAGTGCTAGAGAGTTCACTATCTTAATCTCTTAGGACTACAATGTTTAATGAAGACTTCACCATAGAGGTGATACAAATGGATAGAAAAATGAGAGAGGGAGAGAGGAAGGGAGAGAGAGAGGGAGGGAGGGAGAGAGGGAAGGAGGGAGGCAGAGAGAGAGGGAGGGAGGGAGAGGGGGGAGAGAGAGAGAGAGAGAGAGAGCGAGCGCGAGCACGAACACAAACTGGGGCTAAAAGGGTGTGAAAGAATGGTGTGAGCAAAGATTTATACTTAGGAATACACAAGGTATATACAAAGGGGCAATATTTGGACCACAGTACCCGAAGAGTCCATGTAAAGGCCATGAAATCAGAAGCTAACCATATCAAAGTCTCTATCTCCATGAATGCACAAATCTCTTGGTATATGGTTGTGTGGGAATCTAAATTTCTATGATTTTCTGCCTTTTTTTTTTTTTTATGCCTCTACTACTCTGTCTAAATTCCTCCCCACTTTATTTTTCCTTTTATTGGTAACTGATAATCATTTGCACATACACATGTTTCTATCATTTTATATGTTTAGGGGGTAGTTTTTCAATCTCTCTGATGGTTAAAAAGGCCCTAGAACTACTGTGACCAGGTGCTAGTCATGCTGTACCTGACTTTTCTGGCCATGCTTTATAGGGACCTAGGTCACCAGGGATCACTTGGTCCCAGATAAAAAAAGTGACTTAAACCTTAGGCTCACATGGATTTTTAGTTTCACTTCCATTCTAATACTACTTGTCTTCATTCGTATTTTTACCATTTTAGGGCTTGTATTTCAGTCTTTGGTCTACAAATCGAGAGAACATGGATTCAATCTTTTTTTAATATTCAATTTTTTCAATACTGTCTCTAGCTGAATTGATGTGACCAAAAGTGTAATTTCATAATAGTAACAATAACAATGATTAACATTTGTTAAGTGCGTTGTGTCTGACATTTTTCTGCATATGTGTTATAAATATATATTAACTGATTGGAGTCTCAAAAGGATCCTAGGAACAGTTATTAGCATTAGATTCGGAAAGTGAGGCACAGAAATGCTAAGTGATTTCTGTGAAGTCAAATTCTATGTTAAAGACCTGGAGATTTGAACTCAGGCATTTAGGCACATAACCCCAGACTCTCAACTATTACACCACAATGCCTCTTGAAATCACATTGGTAGCAGTATGTATGAGTGGTTGAAAGAGAGTTTAGTAGCAGAGAGCATTAGCACTCTCTCTTCAAAATGGCCTAAGAAATAGGTAATGAGCTACAATGTTGACAGTAGAAAGGAGAAAGAAGCAATGGATATGAGAGATGGAATTAAGGAAAAATCAATAGGATTTAGCATTACTTATGAGAGAAGATAGTCAAAGACGACTCCAAGGTTTTAAGTCTGTTGTGAGGCAGAACAAAGTTGGAATTAATAAAGGTTGAAGGAGGTGCTGGTTTGCTGAGGTTTATTTAATGTTTGGTCTGTTCCTTTGTTTCAGATGAATGTGTTTCCCCTGATCTGCTGCTGCCTATACTACAGCAAGCTACTCAGGAACTAAGGCAGTAACTGGTGCAGGTAAGGTGCATCTTAGTAGCAAATTCAGTTAAAGATGAATCTAGAAATTTTCACATTGTCTCAGCCTGTGAAACTAATCTACCTAATTTCTCCACTCTTCAGTTTCCTCATCTATGAGGCATGGGAAATTCCTGGATCTCCTTTTGTCGATTAGATAGGAGCCAAATAAGTGATCCATAAACATTAATTCCTTCTGTTTCACTTTGCTTCTAGAGTTGGGGAAAGGTGGAGTAAAGGGTGCTAGATCCACAAATAAAAATATCACTGGGCTGTTACCTAAAAAAAAAAAAAAAAATATTGGTATCTAAGTGAACTCAGGTCACTATTCTCTCAGACAGCAAATACTATATCTTACTACAAACAAAGACACTACTAGCTTTCCATTATTAAGTTTCCAAATTTCAGGATGATCATCAAATTTTGGTAAATGTAAGTAATTTAATATCATACGTTGCCTAGATTTTAACTTGAGTAGTTTCTTATAGTTGTCTCTTATTTCCCATTCTCGCAATTCAAGCTTAAGTTTTATGTACTTCATTGTTGAATTACTAAAATAGACTATTTAAATGTGCTCTCTGATCCCTCCAGTCTTTTCCCCTGCTATAGATCCTCACATAAATGGTAAAATGACACCTCTGTAATTGGAAACTAATACTGCTTTGTTGACATTTTGAGTTTTAGGCATCATTATTTATTTTTTTTCATAGAGCATTTTCTTTCTTTCTTTATTTTTTTCTTTTACAAATAGTTTATTGTCAAATTAGTTTCTACATAACACTCAGTGCTCATCCCCAAAGTGCCCTCCTTCATGCCCATCCCCCCCTCCCCCCCTCTTCCATCAGTCCTCAGTTTTTGTCAGCATTCAAGAGTCTCTCATGGTTTGCCTCTCTCCCTTTCCTCCACCATTTCCGCCCTTCTTCTCCCCCTTGGTCCTCCGTCAAGTTCCTCCTAATCCTCCTATACGTGCAAACATATGTTATTTGTCCTTCTCTGCCTGACTTATTTCGCTCAGCATAACACCCTCAAGGTCCATCCATGTTGCTACACATGGCCAGATTTCATTGTTTCTCATTTAGGCATCATTATTATATCTTGTAGCATTTAGAAATTCAGTCCTTAAGTTTGGGAGGAGGTAAATGTTAGAGTTGGCAGATTTGGGGAGTTATCCAAATAGATGCTGTGGGAAGCAAGGTTGTTGATAAGGAGAGTCCACAGAGAGAAGAGTCAAAGACTGCAACCTTGTGTAGCACCTAGAACAGGGTCTTGCATATATTAGAAATTCAAATATTTAAAAGTAGTCTTTATCTGAATAATCATTTTTCAGATCTCCCAAGTAAGACAGGCAGATTGTCTACTGAACAAAATTAACAGAGAATGATAATATTTCACTGTCCCCAAAATAGTTCTTCAGCTACTATATCAAACAGAAATGTGAGGGAATTAACTTTGTTGAACTGTTCTTACTGGATATAACCCATCATTGGTCAGCTGGATTTGGGGAAGGGGTTGTACACTGTAAGGTATCAGAGTTGCCCTTGGATCTGACAAAATTTCCTTATTCATTTACCCTCTAGAACATAGTTTAGGGCATAGCAGGTGATAAACATGAGCGATGGCTTAGAACAATAATTATAAAATGACTGAATGAATTCATTCACACAAATAGGAACTCTGAAATCAGTGAAGTGCTGGATTAG